AACTCTTTCTTTGACTAACTCTTTCCCTGACTAACTCTTTCTTTGACTAACTCTTTCCCTGACTAACTGTTTCTTTGCTAACTCTTTCTTTGACTAACTCTTTCCCTCGCTAACTCTTTCTTTGACTAACTCTTTCCCTCACTAACTCTTTCTTTGACTAACTCTTTCCCTGACTAACTGTTTCTTTGCCAACTCTTTCTTTGACTAACTCTTTCCCTCACTAACTCTTTCTTTGACTAACTCTTTCCCTCACTAACTCTTTCTTTGACTAACTCTTTCCCTGACTAACTCTTTCTTTGACTAACTCTTTCCCTGACTAACGGTTTCTTTGACTAACTCTTTCTTTGACTAACTCTTTCCCTCACTAACTCTTTCTTTGACTAACTCTTTCCCTGACTAACTGTTTCTTTGCTAACTCTTTCTTTGACTAACTCTTTCCCTGACTAACTGTTTCTTTGCTAAATCTTTCTTTGACTAACTCTTTCCCTCACTATCTCTTTCTTTGACTAACTCTTTCCCTGACTAACCTCTTTCTTTGACTAACTCTTTCCCTCACTAACTCTTTCTTTCTAACTCTTTCCCTCACTAACTCTTTCTTTGACTAACTCTTTCCCTCACTAACTCTTTCTTTGACTAACTCTTTCCCTGACATTCTAAAAGTCCGTAACACGGAAGTTTCTCCCCCTAAACTTCCTTTGATCATTGTATGATTGTATGATACATCATTCTCCAAAACTTACAGGAATTCCATGCTATCTTGTGCCTCTCTCCCATCTTCTACCCCTCTGGGCTGCTCTAACTGTCGCTTGATGATGAGCTAGATGCTTGAGATGTGCCTGGCGCATTGGTTCGTTGGCTTTTTTGACTCCAACATTTCTGGAGGGTTTGTGAAAAAACATTGGAAACTTTGCAGAAAATTGGATCCTGCAGAAAGTCTGCAAAAACGTGTAGCTGCACGTCCAAGATGATCCAAGATGTTGATGAAATATGGCCCTGGGGAAATGGAGCCAATAGTTTCACTTACCACCGAGACTTGGGTTGCAACTTTTATAATAACAATACATGGGTCATTAAATGTCCCCATTGAACATCACCCAACCATTAGGTATATGGTCTATAATGGCTACTATAAGGTGATGCCCAATATTCCCAAAATGGGACAGTTGCCAACCCCTGACAATATGTAACTTTTATATCCCGGCCAGCTGTCCCAGCAACCACCCAACTTCCCAGCATCCCGGATGCTCGGAGGGCGCCTGTGCTGGGCGCTGCCACCTGCGCCTTGAGGGCTGCATGCTCGGAGGGCGTGGGCCCAGTGGCCTGAACATCGATAAGGACAGGAAATTCCAGATTTTTTTTGGATCAAATCATCTATGATGATATTTTAACTAATATGTCTGGAACATATTGATTTTTTTAATTAAAAATGTATATATATATATAAATATGTCTGGATTATGATGATGATGATGATATTTTAACTAATGGCCTAGACATCATCAATGAATTAGTTAAAATTCGACTCCGGCACTGTTGGGGTATACCGATTTGAAAGCCAACTTTGGTCCGCAAGACCACTGTGGGTCCCACCCTCTTTTGGAACCAAACATGGCTAGTGAGCTAGTGGTTATGAAGTTGTTCACATGATGAAACCATCATTTGTGGAAAACGAATGGCAAAACAGGATAGCCGTTGGCAACTCATGGGTAGATGGCTGGCACACCGCACCTAAAATTTAGACCACCACAACGGACCATGCTATGTCATTGTGACTCATTGAAATGACTCTATGGACTCAAGGAAATCTATCACCTTTCATTAAAATCATTAAAAACTTGTTGATTTTCAGGCAAAAACATCTTTTCTGCAAAGCAAGCCATGACATTTTGACAGCACCCTGCAGGTCACCTTGGTTTCAGTAGATTCCGCCTGGGAGTGGAGTGGAGTCACAACAACGCTTCCCCAGTGACCATTCTCCCTTGAGGTAAACATGTAGGTAAACAAATGTAAAACCGAGCGAACTTTCCGCTCATCTTGAATGTTGAAACGCATTGATGCCATGGAGATTTTGTTTCGGGCAATGATGAGCATGATGAGCATGATGATCAGAAGATATCAGAAGCTTTCCATCTGTTCGTACCGTCGTACAGCATTATTCTCAGCAACAACTCTGGAGTCAGCTTTCCTGCAGCATCCTGCAGCTGAAAAGGTCGGATGGCCGTGCCTTGTGTTGGGCCCAAGGCTCAAAGAACATGTACTTTCCATACCTCAGAGCCAGTGAAATACTGTTTCCCATCAACGATAGATAGAAACACCTTGTCGCAAAAATCAAGCCATTTTAGGGCAGAAACAAGGATCCCAGAATATCCAGAATATCCCAGATGTCTTTCACGACTATCCGGCAATCCACACACAACATGACCAATCCACTCATCCACCAGCCATTTCCTCGCGAGTGGCCATCGGCCGTTGGGCATGGCATGCCAATAGACATGCTCAAAGACGAAGCGCTTCCTGCAGCTGAGGCGCTGTTGCGTCTACTGTCATCCACCAGAACTCTTACCAGTCAACATTGCAATAGTATGTGTTGTTGTTTTCCCGAATGCGTAGCAAGGGTTCCCGTTTCACTCTGGGGGTCTGGGGGTTGAGGGTGTGTTCGCTCGACGTTGCGTTTGTGGTCGCAACCGTTCGCAACCGTTCGCAACCGTTCGCGTGAGGACCGTATGGCCGTGCCTATGGGAAGTTTTACAGAGGTGGTCCTTTTTGGAGGTTTCAGACGTCTGGTTGCTTCGTTTCGCGTGGCAGGTGTGGCACTTCGTGACATTCAGACGTGTTCTGAAACGTGTCGAAAGTCGTTTTGCGTGGCAGGCGCAATACTTTTGCGACGTTTTCAGAAGATGTGTTGCAGTTTTCGTGGCAGGCGCAGCACTTTGGACGCGTCCATCGTCATTTTTCGTGGCAGGCGCAGCACTTTAGACGTGTCGCGTTGCGTGTTTTTTGTAAATCGCATTGGCAGGGCTGCGTCAAGTGGTGACAAGGTGCAAATTCCGTGGCAGGCGTGGCATTTTCTCACATGTGTTGAAAATTGACGGAAGCCTCGCACGAAAGATCGATTTTGAGGTTACAAATTTTCAGGTTCTAAGGAAAACTCGTAGGAAAACGTCGATTTTGGAGCTGCAAAGTATGAAAATTGGAGGAAGTCTCGCACGAAATGCTCGTTTTGGTGCTCCCACCTGTCTCGTCTCGAGTCTCTGGTTTTCCTGTGGCCTCGCCGTGTCTATGGGGGAAGCTGCAAAACTTGTCCTTTTGTCATGTTGCCAACTGTGAAAATTGGAGGAAGTCTCGTACGAAATGCTGGTTTTTCTGCATTCACGTGTCTTGTGTCGAGTCGCTGGTTTTCCTGTGGCGTCGCCGTGTCTATGGGGGAAGCTGGAAAACCTCTCCGATTCGAATGTGTCCAAGCAGGTTGTCATGTCGTTTTGCGTGGCAGGCGTGGCACTTTGTGACATTCCAAACTTGTTTGATAATGTGTTGGAATGTGAAAATTGGAGGAAGTCTCGTACGAAATGCTGGTTTTTCTGCATCCACATGTCTCGTCTCGAGTCGCTGGTTTTCCTGTGGCGTCGCCGTGTCTATGGGGGAAGCTGGAAAACCTCTCCTTTTCGAATGTGTCAAGCAGGTTGTCATGTCGTTTTGCGTGGCAGGCGTGGCACTTTGTGACATTCCAAGCTGTTTGATAACGTGTGGAAAATATCAAAATGGGAGGAAGTCTCGCACGAAATGCTTGTTTTTCTGCATCCATGCGTCTCGTCTCGAGTCTCTGGTTTTTCCTGTGGCGTCGTCGTGTCTATGGGGGAAGCCGCAAAATCTATCCTTTTCGAAAGTTTCCAAGCAGGTTGTCATGTCGTTTTGCGTGGCAGGCGTGGCACTTTCCTCACTCCACACTCGACACTTTACACTCCTCACTTTACACTCCACACTCCACACTCTACACACCACACTCTACACTTTCCACTCCAGACTCCACACTCTACACTTTACGCTCCACACTCCAAACTTTACACTCCTCACTCCACACTCCACACTTTACACTCCACACCACACACTTTACACTCCTCACTCCACACTTTACACTCCTCACTTTACACTCCACACTTTACACTCCACACTTTACACTCCTCACTCCACGCTTTACACTCCACACTTTACACTCCACACTCTACACTTTACACTCCACACTTTACCCTCCACACTCCACACTCTACACTTTACCCTCCACACTCCACACTCTACACTTTACACTCTACACTATACACTCCACACTTTACACTTTACACTCCACACTCCACACTCTACACTCTACATTCCACACTCCTCACTCCACACTTTACACTCCTCACTTTACACTCCACACTCCACACTCCACACTTTACACTCCACACTCCTTACTTCACACTCCACACTCCACACTCTACACTCCACACTCCTTACTTCACACTCCACACTCCACACTCTACACTCCACACTCCTTACTTCACACTCCACACTCCACACTCTACACTTTCCACTCCACACTGCAGACTGGTAACAAGGGAAACATGTACAAGACTGTTCAAATAAACTATTGCAGAAAGGTATTGTGCGTCACTGCATAACCATGTGTTTTGACATCTGTACCATTAACATACGTGTGAGCATTCGGGTTCGTGGGCTTCATCTTGTTTTTTTCCCAACAAATTCCCAATTGTCGACACTACCCCATGCAAACATATTCAGCTTTCATAGTAAGATATCACAAAATCTGCTAAGCATCGCGTACAGCCCCAAAAGACATCAGGCAACTGTTCAACGGTAAAACCACCAAGCCACAACCAATAGAAGAAGGCGTTAGGCTTCGTCTGATCCAATGGCCAAAAGGTCGGAATGGCCTTGCATCGCTGGTTTTACCACCCAAATCTAGGGGATTCCAGGGGTAAAACATGGTCAACCCATCTAAAAACTTCCCAAACAAACCGAATTCTGGATGTTTTCCACTGAAATTTTGTTGGCAAGACATGGACACATGTGGAAAACAGCAAACCTCCATCGTATAGCCATTGAACTCGGCCAGCATCAACTGGCTGTCCTTGAGCAGACGTGGAACCATCGGGATGAGGATGTTTTTCGAATTTGCAAATTCCAAAAAGGTCAAAAGATATGGGGTTGTAAAGATATGGGGTCGTCTGAAAATTTAGCGTGAAACTCCAAAATTGATGGTTAATCTATAGGTTAATCATAGTTGATCATCATATTTCCCATTCAACTGGCCATCTTTTGGAGTTAATCCCTCATTTTTCAGACACCACATGTTGTGATGATCGTTTTGCCGCTTGATCTGTTACATGTTGCCCCGAAGGACCCAACGGCTTGACGCATCACCACCTCTGGTCATGGAAACCATCTCCCGGTTGCAAATGGAGAGATTTTTGGACATGGAAATATCGACAAACAAAAAACCTGAGAAAATCGATGAATGACATCGCTCCTTCACCTCCTTCCCTTCCACCTCTATCCCCCCAACTGAGTTTTGTTGCCAGGCTGCACCCAGCAACACAGGACATGCGGTGTAGCCGTCGTAGATCCGTGTGGCTTCTTTCTCCTCCATGAGCGATTGAACCTGGTGGTAGTGTGAACCCTGTGGAAATTAGAGGAGTAGGAACCAACAATCAACAAACATTGGAATGTTGTCATTCACCAGCAAAAAAAATGGGTCGCACCAGCAAAATGTATTCACCAGCAAAAAAAATGGGTCGCACCAGCAAAATGTAGCTTGATATAGTTTGACATAATTTGGCAAGAATCATAAGGGGGAGATACAATTCTCGGGGCAGTCCAAGAATGGGGAAAACCCTGGAAAAGTTCGCATCAAAAGCCAGATATTGGGGGTTTAAGACAAGTTGGGTTAAACCGAAGTGATGAGTTATGCCCCAACCCATATTTCCAGTCATCAGGATCATCACATGTTCAGTATTAACCCCCTAGTAACCTTCACTATGCACTCTTTGTGAGTGGAGGGTTACCGGGGTCAAGCATGCAACCAATAATGATGATCTAATCCCTTCATGTTAGTGACGTAAACGCACCGAAAACAAACCGTGGTTCAGTCACCCGAAAAATGTCTCTAGACATCTTTAGACCCACCAATAGAAAAGTGAGTAACAGTACTGGCCGGTTGGAGATTGAGTTGTCTTGGCCCAAAATTCTGAAAGTTCAAAGTCGAGAAGAAAACATGGTTGCAACAACCAGGAATGATGGCCGAGGTACGTTGCTCACCACCACTGGCGCCTGGGACGAGATCGCCGAATAGGTCCTGGTGGCGCAGCCATGGGTCGAACTGGGGTTAGACCGGTCCATTTTGCGGGATTTAACAAACTCGAACTTCAGCAGATCTTGAAAACTTCAGCAGATATTGAACCGGGACTACTATAAGCAGAAATGGAACTACGAAAAGGAATAAGGATATTCAACTATAGGAAAAAACATGAACAAACAACAAGTCGGTCATGTTGCCCCACGCAATTTGGACAGCAACCATCCCCAACCATCCCAGCCATGCCATCTGTCTTGGAGGTGGGTAGAGACGAGCAATCGCCCAACGCAAAGACGTTGGGGTACTTGTTGTGCTGACAGGTCTCCTGACAGGTCTCCGACGATGATCAACTCCAAGAACCTGGTGAAAAACCAAACAAAACATATGGGTTTTTCAACATAGGTTGTTTGAGGATATGTCTATATATCCCATGAAATGCCAATCCCAGTAGAGTCCATTGAAATGTTTACATTCAAAAACTATGGCTATGCTGCCCCAGAAATCCGGATAGAACCTGACAACCGGGGCACCTATCCAGCGTAGGGAGGTGACCCAGTTGCTGCTGAGATGCACCCTGTTTGATCATTTTGCATGAAGGGGATCAAAGAATGCGAGATGAAGAGAATTGTGGTGTTACCATCGAAATCCACGTCATCATCCCTGTGAAATCCAGTGACAATTAAAAAAAATCATCCATGTAATGGGACATTTATATGACCGCAATTCTGAGGCTATCCATGGCTATTCTTGGCTCCGTCCAGCCAGTGACGGTCAGCTGTCCTTATCCACATCGACAAAGCCGACGGCGTTGGCTAAAGGGCTGTTCCTCAGAAACCGAGGCTGGCACACTTCTCCGGTGGCTGTTGGTTCTTGATTGGAGGTTGTATAGTAATATTATGTATATATATATATATATGTTGATATGTTTCATATATACTACCAGTGCCATTTGAATGGTCTTCGAACCAAGCATAATGTGGAGGTAGAGTTTCAAAACCATCTTTGGGATCTCTACAGAAGACATCATCCAGATATATCCAGATCATCCAGTCAGTGTTTGTTGCCAATGCTTGCTGGTGACACGTCCAATCGTTGCTGTCCCTAAACTGATGACAACATCTGAATTTTGCAGTCCAAAACTGCAAATCATACCACTGGATAATGGCCCTTGTTGGATTCCATGCTAAATAAATCTAAATAAATATCTATCAAAATCAGAGGGTGGAAGCATTCAATTCGCTTTTTGGCCTTGTGATCATGGCCACAGCATGGCCACAGCCAACCACCCACGAAGTCAGAGGCACTTCACGAAGTCAGGGGAGCTCATCGGAGGTGTCACGTGCAGAAAGTCGAACTCCTTGGTGACAATTTCTCCACCTGGCGAAGATCATCCCCTATAAAAAGGGATCAGGTGATGTAGATATACCCTCTGGTTATGTCAAAATAGCTATTGAAAATGGCCATTTATAGTGGATTTACCATGATTTACCCATTGAAAATGGTGATTTTCCATAGTTTTTTTGTATGTTTACCAGAGGGTATCTGGATTATGTCACTTGAGGGGAAAAGGATGGAAAAGGGGAGTTGGAAACTCGTCCTCTGTCTGCAAATTGGACATTTGGGACGGTTGGACATTTCAGTCATGATATGGTCCGGAGAAGACATTTTCTCGGAAGGGAATGGTATGTTGCAAACATGGACTGCCACCATCCGCTGAGGTTTACAGGTTTAGCCCATGGATGGTTTGTGTCTGCAACATCCAGCTGCGCCTTCCTTCTCGAAGACAGCAATCTTTTTGTCTCCATCCACTTCGATCAGGTTCGTCTTCACCGATGGAGAGATACCTGCCCGGTATCAGGGGTGGGTTGCAGGACTTTGGCACCCAGAGTTTCATCCAGGGTTTCCACTTGAAGATTGCTTCACAATGAAATCACCTGGTCAAGTTACCCCAAAAGATGAGATGATCGGTCTTCGTGATTGCATCGTTTCCACAATTGGCTTGCTGTCATTCGCGCAAAATCTCATTCCCATCATTTGAATACATCTCCCCAAACAATCTGAGGACTTTGAGGTTTCCGATAAGAACATATGATAAGATATGGTCCAATCTCTGCTCCAAAAAAATTGATCCATCTCAACCTCAGTTGATCTCAGTTCAGCCTTTGGCTGCCATCTGCTTCTCCAACGCCACACGATACTCTGGGCAGGCGAAGATGCCTGGATTTTCTTGAGTCACTTAGAAGCTGGAGACTTCGTTGTTTTTCTGGGCTGAACAGTGAACAGTAGATTTGGGGGAATTAAAACAATTAATTAACACCTATGATATGATACCTAGACATTTAGGGGTAGGAGGCTTTGGGCGAAAAGAAAGCAGTGGCTTCGCTGTCAAACTCCCTCCTAGCTGGTGGATTTGATATCTTGGGCATCTTGAAAAGGCGCTAAAACTCACATTGCCAAAAAAGTGGCGCTATCATCTGGGTAAATTATAATATTTCACTAACCTGAATTAAGGCCATTTGGGGATGATTTCCCTTACTAACCATGATTCCAGTGAGGTCGCAGTGAGGTCGTTATAATTTACCCAGTATCATGCCCAAAACAGCAACGATCAGCATCTTTTCAGTCACCATGGGCTGTCGACGTTGCGCGCCTGGAGTGGCTGTGATGAACTCGATGTCGATGCTGTCGCGCACCCCTGGAACCAGAGGATGAGATAAACTTGCGAACTGCTTCAATTTCTCGACTCTTGGATATATATATGTCTTTTTTTAAAACGTTGAGAAATGCCAGAAAATTGATTACATGCCAATGGGCACCTTGTTTTTTTGACCCCCCACCTTGTTTTTTTGACTCCCCCCTTGTTTTTTTGACCCCCCACCTTGTTTTTTTGACCCCCCACCTTGTTTTTTTGACCCCCCACCTTGTTTTTTTGACCCCCCACCTTGTCTTGTTGACCCCCCACCTTGTTTTTTCTTTAAGATTTACATTTCTTTAGGGTTTCATTTGGGGTTTCTGTCGGGTTTCATGTAGGGTTTGATTTTGGTATTCTTTAGGGTTTCATCTAGGGTTTTATGTAGGTTTTAAAAAGGGTTTCTTTTCAGGAAATCTTGTCAAGGTTTTCAAACGTTTATGTGGGTTTTTTAAAGGTTTCTTTAGGGTTTCATTTAGGGTTTCATTCAGGGTTTCTTTAGGGCTTCATTTAGGGTTTCAATCAGAATTTTTAAGGGTGTCGCTTGGGGTTTCTTTAAGAATTCATTTAGGGTTTCATTCAATCTTTCGTTAGGGTTTCATTTATTGCTTCAGGTTAATTTATGGCTTCTTTAGGGTTCATCTAGTGTTTCATGTAGGGGTTTCTTGTCAGGAGTTCTTATCAGGAATTCTTTAGGGTTTCTTTAGGTTTCACCTAGGGTCTTTCAAGGTTTCATTTAGGATACAAACAGGAGATAATAAAGAAAACGAATTAGGGTTTCATCTGCGGGAGACACCAGGATTTCATTTAGGGGTTCCTTAGGATTTCATTTAGGGATTCTTGAGGATTTGCATTTCTTTGGGGTTTCATTCTTTAGGGTTTCTGTAGGGTCTCATTTAAGGTTTCATTCAGGGTTTCTTTAGGGTTTCATTTAGGTTTTCTTTAGGGTTTTAAGGTCTCTTGAGGGTTTCTTTGGCGTTTTATTTACGGCTTCTTTGTGTCTCATTTAGGGTTTCGTTTACGGGTTCTTCAGGATTTAAGTTTGGGTTCCATTTAGGGGTTCAATCAGAGTTTTTTAGGGTGTCGCTTGGGGTTTCTTTAAGATTTCATTTAGGGTTTCATTCAATCTTTCGTTAGGGTTTCATTTATTGCCTTAGTATGGTTTCTTTAGGGTTCATCTAGTGTTTCATGTAGGGGTTTCTTATCAGGATATCTTTAAGGCTTTAAGCTTTCTTTGGGTTGCACCTAGGGTCTTTAGGGTTTCATTGGGGATACACACACACAAAAATCAGGTTGTCATTTAGTGATTCTTTAGGGTTTCATTCAGGGTTTCTGTAGTGCTTCATGTAGGTTTGATTTAAGGCTTCTTTAGGGTGTCATTCAGGGTTTAATTTAGTTTTTTTTACTCTAGGGTTTCTTCTCATGGAATTCTTATCCGGGTTGTCAAACGTTCATGTGGGTTTCTTTAGGGCTTCTTCAGGTTTCATTTAGGGTTTCTTTAGGGTTTCATTTAAGGTTTCTTTAGGGCTTCACTTAAGGTTTTATTTAGGCTTTCTTTAGGGTTTCATCTAGGGTTTCGTTTCTTCAGGGTTTCAATTTGGGTTCCATTTAGGGTTTCATTCAGAATTTTTTAGGGTGTCGCTTGGTGTTTTTTTAAGATTTCATTTAGGGTTTCATTCAAAGTTCGTTAGGCTTTCATTTATGGTTTGTTTAGGTCAATTTATGGTTTCTTTAGGGTTGATTTAGTGTTTCATGTAGGGGGTTCTTAGCAGGAAATTCTTTAGGGTTTCTTTGGATTTCACCTAGGGTCTTTAAGGTTTCATGTAGGTCACAAACAGGAGAGAATAAAACAAAATAATTAGGGTTTCATGTAGGGATTCTCTGGGATTCTTTAGGGTTTCCCGTTTCTTTAAGATTTACATCTCTTTAGACTTTCATTTCGGGTTTCTTTAGGGTGTTGGTAGGGTTTCATGTAGGATTTGATTTAGGGATTCTTTAGGGACTCTTTAGGGTTTCATTTCGGGTTTTATGACGGGTTTCTCATCAGGAATTCTTATCAAGATTCTCAATCGTTCATGTGGGTTTCTTCAGGGCTTCTTTAACGTTTCATTTAGGGTTTCATTCAGGGTTTCTTTGGGTTTCATTAAGGGTTTCATTCAGAGCTTCTTTAGGGTTTCATTTAGGGCTTCATTCTGGGTTTCATTTAATGTTTCTTTAGGGTGTTATTTAGTGTATCTTTGGGGGTTCATTTACAGTTTCTTTCGTGTCTCATTTAGTGTTTCTTTTACGGGTTCTTGAGGATTTAAGTTTGGGTTCCATTTAGGGTTTCAATCAGAATTTTTTAGTGTGTCGCTTGGAATTTCTTTAGGATGCCATTTAAGGTTTCATTCAAAGTTTCGTTAGGGTTTCATTTGTGGTTTCTTTAGGTTAATTTATGGTTTCTTTAGGGTTCATCTAGTGTTTCATGCAGGGGTTTCTTATCAGGAGTTCTTTTGAAGATTTCTTTAGGGTTTTTTTAGGTTTCACCTAGGGTTGTTTAGGTTTTGTTTAGGATACAAGCAGGAGAAAATAAAGCAAAAGAATTAGGGTTTCATTTAGGGATTCCCTGGGATTCTTTGGCGTTTCGCGTTTCTTTAAGATTTACATCTCTTTGGGGTTTCTGTCGGGTTTCATGTAGGATTTGATTTAGGGATCCTTTAGTGTTTCATTTAGGGTTTTATGACGGGTTTCTTATCAGGAATTCTTATCAAGATTCTCAATCGTTCATGTGGGTTTCTTTAGGGCTTCTTTAACGTTTCATTTAGGGTGTCATTCAGAGTGTCTTTAAGGTTTCATTTAGGGTTTCATTTAAAGTTTCTTTAGGGTTTCTTTAGGGTGTTATTTAGGGTTTTTTTTGGGTTTCATTTACGGTTTCTTTAGTGTCTCATTTTAGGGTTTCGTTTACGATTCTTCAGGATTTAGGTTTCGGTTCCATTTAGGGTTTCAATCACATTTTTTTAGGGTGTCGCTTGGGGGTTTCTTTCAGATTTCATGTAGGGTTCCATTCAAAGTTTCGTTAGGGTTTCATTTAGTGCTTTAGGTTAATTTATGGTTTCTTTAGGGTGCATCTAGGGTTTCATGTAGGAATTTCCTATCAAGAGTTCTTATCAGGAAATCTTTAGGGTTTCTTTGGGTTTCGCCTCGGGTCTTTCAAGGTCTCATTTAGGATATAAACAGGAGATAATAAAGAAAACGAATTAGGGTTTCACCTGGGGATTCTTTAGGATTTCATTTAGGGATTCTTTAGGATTTCAATTAGGGATTCTTTAGGATTTGCATTTCTTTGGGGTTTCTTTAGGGTTTCATGTAGGGTTTGATTTAGGGATTCTTTAAGGTTTCATTTAGGGTTCAATTTAGGGTTTTGCGCAGGGTTTCTTATCAGGAAATTTTGTCAAGGTTTTCAAACGTTCATGTGGGTTTCTTTAAGGTTTCTTTAGGGTTTCATTTAGGCTTTCATTTAGGCTTTCATTCAGGGTTTTAAGGTCTCTTGAGGGTTTCTTTGGGGTTTCATTTACGGTTTCTTTAGTGTCTCATTTAGGGTTTCATTTACGGGTTCTTGAGGATTTAAGTTTGGGTTCCATTTAAAGGGTTTCAATCAGAATTTTTTAGGGTGTCGCTTCGGGTTTCTTTAGGATGTCACTTAGGGTCTCATTCAAAGTTTCGTTAGGGTTTCATATGTGGTCTCTTGAGGTTAACTGATGGTTTCTTTAGGGTTCATTTAGGGTTTCATGTAGGGGTTTCTTATCAGGATATCTTTAAGGCTTTAAGCTTTCTTTGGGTTGCACCTAGGGTCTTTAGAACACACACACACAAGAATCAGGTTGTCATTTAGTGATTCTTTAGGGTTTCGTCTAGGGATTCTTTAAGATTAACATTTCTTTAGGGTTTCATTTTGGGTTTCTGTAACAGTAGGGTTTCATGTAGGTTTGATTTACAGTAGGGTTTCATTCAGGGTTTCTTTATGGCTTCATTTAGGGTTTCATTTAGGGTTTTTTTAGGGTTTCATTTAAGGTTTCATTTTGAATTTCATTTAGAGGCTCTTTAGTGTTTCATTTAGGGTTATGTTTTCTTCAGGGTTTCAGTTTGGGTTCCATTTAGGGTTTCATTCAGGGTTTTTTAGGGTGTCGTCTAGGGTCTCTTTAGGATGCCATTTAGGGTTTCATTCAACGTTTCGTTAGGTTTTCATTTATGGTTTCTTTAGGTCAATTTATGGTTTCTTTAGGGTTCATTTAGTGTTTCATGTAGGGGTTTCTTAGCAGGAATTCTTCAGGGTTTCTTTGGGTTTCACCTAGGGTCTGTAAGGTTTCATTTAGGATACAAACAGGAGAGAATAAAACAAAAGAATTAGGGGTTCATGTAGGGATTCTCTGGGATTCTTTAGGGTTTCGCGTTTCTTTAAGATTTACATTTCTTAAGGGTTTTATTTCGGGTTTCTTTAGGGTTTCTGTCGGGATTCATGTAGGGTTTGATTTAGAGATTCTTTACGGTTTCTTTTAGGGTTCAATTTCGGGTTTTGTGTATGGTTTCTTATCAGGAAATCTTGTCAAGGTTTTCAAACGTTCATGTGGGTTTCTTTAAGGTTTCTTTAGGGTTTCATTCAGGGTGTCTTTGGGATTTTAAGGTCTTTTGAGGGTTTCTTTGGGGTTTCATGTACGGTTTCTTTAGTGTCTCATTTAGGGTTTCGTTTACGGGTTCTTGAGGATTTAAGTTTGGGTTCCATTTAAAGGGTTTCAACTAGAGTTTTTTAGGGTGTCGCTTGGGGTTTCTTTAGGATGTCATTTAGGGTCTCATTCAAAGTTTCGTTAGGGTTTCATATGTGGTTTCTTGAGGTTAACTGATGGTTTCTTTAGGGTTCATTTAGGGTTTCATGTAGGGGTTTCTTATCAGGATATCTTTAAGGCTTTAAGCTTTCTCTGGGTTGCACCTAGGGTCTTTAGGGTTTCATTGAGGATACACACACACACAAA